CAGCTGGGGTCCCTGTACTCCCAGTGACAATCTCTACTCAGCACACACCACACTGCCTATCTTGTACACAGGCTGGATTCGCATTCAGAGCCTGACCTGTAGAATGCACTCAGTAACTGTCTGCTGAATGAAGGAATGGTGCTCCGAGTGGTTCACTTTGACACCTCTCCGGCATTGAAGGCTAAGGGTAGCTGCGGTTCAGTGCGGTGACTGTCTCATATTGAGGGCCTTCGTCAGTCTCTATCCCATAATGAATAATGAGCATCAATTGGGTTCTTACTTCCAAACAACAGAAACTGACTCTGGCCGGCTTAACAAAAAAGGATCTAATTAAATGATATTAAGAAACCCATAGAACAGCCAGAAAAGCAGGTAAAGCAGTGGAGGTCACAGCCCAGGTGCAACACCCCAAATCATGCCCCGAGCTGATCTGGTGATAACTGTCTTCTTCCCACCATACCCTCGGGATGCCACAGGCTGCTCTGCCAGCCTGGCTGCATCAGACTCTAGGTGCTGTTGCTGCTGGCCCTGCCATCTCCCCCACCTGGCTCTGCTGTTGCTGGAAGTGTGATGGCGCTGTGTCTGCCACTTCCTCTCCATCTCTCACTGTATGGATGACAGCTGTTGATTGGCTGAGCCAGGGTTATATCCTCACACCCTAGGTGGAAAAAGAAATAATATGGCTGTCACAAAGTGGAGAATTCCCCAAATCTAAGAAGGAGTTCAGATTTTGGGTAGCCAAAAACCTGACATATAGCTACGCTATTCTGTTTCTTCTGAGTTCTCTCTTCTCTCTACAAACATCCTCTGTTCCTTCATCCCAAATTCATGGAAGAGGCCTCTGGATCCCTCACCACCCTGCCATTAATTTTTGGTACTCCGAATGGAAAGTAATTTCCAAATGAGGTCTTGTAAGCCTGAGGTACAATGGGATTATTTCTTTCCATATCAAGACCCCTCCACTTCCATTAATACATCTTAAGATTTCATTACTTTTCTAGGCAGCCATACTACACTGATGACTCATGTTGGCTCATAATATGCTTGTGGTCAGCTGAGTTCCCCAGATCTTTTCTTATGAATGGCTTTTAAGCCAGGTCTCCTCAATCATCCACTTATGTAATTGACTTATTGAACATGTGCAAATTTAACCAAGTTATATAAAACTGTATTTGTAATACTTCAGCTATTTAGTTTACACCCTTAAATTCTCTTAGACTGTAGAAAATTTTACTTGGCAACTTCAACTAGAAATCGAAAACTGGCGTTCTGTGGGCCAGTTTGGCCACATACTTATTTTGTTTGGCTAATATGGCACTTTTTTTTTTAAAATAGAATTGAATTGGTTGCCAACTGTTGAATATTAGGAGATCTCACGTGAAAAGCAGGACTTTCAACTTCTCTTGAAGAATAGGAAGATCTGGCAATACTGGGTCCCCATTTCCTCAAGGCAATGAACGATTGACTGGAGCCCGTCGGCGGCTATTCCCTTTAAAAAGGGCAGGCACACTGCAGCTCACCACGGCCCCCAGCATGCTAAGTTACTTTAGATTAGGTCTGCTTCCTTAATTTACCATCTGCCGCAGCTCTGTGTGCATCTGGGTTTGCAGCCTCTTGCACTGTGGGAGTTAGCTGAGGCAGGGGTTAAAGGAGTGGAACGAAAGTGGAGGAAGTCTGAGAAAGGTGGGGGTTCAGTGACCTGTGTTTGCTCAAAAGAGCATCCTCTTGTTTACCTGCGTGGTGCATAATAGAGAGGGAACTTGAGGGAAAATATTTGGTTCTGGGCCTCTGACACATATCTGTCCAGAGAGTGACCGTCTGATTCAAGCTGGCTGGTAGCGTCTTAAAACTTTGAGCAAGTGACAACACCAGATGAGTCCCTTGGCAGTGACTGGAGCTGTTGGATGACATGCTCATGGAGCTTTTGACCATGTTTCCTGCCGTGCAGGTTAGAGAAGCAGAGCAGCTGGTGCAAAAGAGGGAAGGATAAAGTCAGCATGTGGAGAAGAATGGAGAGCAAGACACACTGGGGATCCCAACTGCATTAACCTGGCCAGCTCTTATCCTGGGCTTTGTGAGATGTCCCTAATTCTTATAATATAGTCTTCTCTTTTTAAGAACCTAGCTAGAGTTAGTTTTTGTTGCTTGTAACTGAAAGCACCTGGAACATTTCATCACAGGCAATCCCTGCTCTCTGGGAGCCCTAGCTATGCCTCAGGGGGTCCCGTCTTCACCCTCCCTGTTGGGTCCTGCATCTGTACTACCTGCTTTTGGATCAAGCATTCTGGGTCCTCTTGAAAATTCCCCTTGATTGTTCCCAAGTGCAGGTCAAAGAGTAAAAGGCAGAGAATGTGAGTAAGTTCTGCGCACTTCCTCCGGACCTCGAGGGAAGCTTGCTTCCAGGTTCCAGGATGCCGGGCAGCTCAGTCGTGCCTTCCATCTGACACGTTTGCCAACCTGACTGAATAACATACATGAAAATCCATACCACTGGGTGATGCCCACTAAGCAGGTTTGGAAAGCCAGTGGCTTCCAGTAGGAGCAGTTTCCAGGGACTGGTAACCTGACAAGAGCTCAGGAAACCGGGAGTTGAGGCACTAAGATCTGGGTTCAGCCACCACTAGGTGGTGAGGTTAAGGCATTCTTTCATTTACTCAACACGTGTTTACTGAGCACCTACTATGAGCCAGACACTTTTTTAAGCACTGGGGATATTAAAGTGTAAAAGATGTGTCACCTTTATGGAGTTGGTATTCTAACAGAATGTGGTATTTTCTACATTTTAGGCTCTGGAGATGCAAACATTAACAGATTTCAGCCCTGATTATTTCATAGCTTTGAGCTTCACCTTCCTCATTTGTTAAATGAGGCTAAAAATAATTATCCCATAGGGCTGTTTAGAGGATTAAATAAATTAATGCATAGGCACATTCTTGGTATTTAAGTCTCAACAAATATTACCTTCACCCTGAAAAATCCAAAAAGTTACACCTAACCTCCCAAACCACGGGATAGCTTGACCAGTAGGCGGGTCATAAATACCTCCTTTGACATTAACCCTGGAAAGAACTGACTGTCTGGTGTCCAGTTGCTTTGGACCATGATTTCTGCTGGGCCCAGGATGCTAACAGCTGTGGCGCGTTGGGAATACGAAAACGACCACGAGGGGGCAGCGCACTGCAGGGAATCTCTTCGCTCATCCAGCAAACCGCCCAAACTTCCCTGGCTTCTCGAGTTCCTCCCGTACGTATTTCCGTTGCTCTGACGCTCTCAGAAGCCTGGGGGTCGGGAAGGAGAGCGCGAATTTCCCCTCCTCTGCGCTTCCTGAACAAAAATTGGAGCGGGTTAAAGAGACTGCGCTGCAGAGCACGGAGTGGGCGCTGGAGATCCTCGCCACAGCGCCAGGAAAGGCGCACCGTGGAGCCGGGTGCCCCGCGAAAGGGTGTCTTATTTGGTTGGCAGCGGGTGCCAGCTTCGTATCCGCACTTTATCCAGGACGGCTGGGCTGCCGCCCAGAGGAGTCGAGGGCTGGCCCCTGGGGCGCCGACGGCCGCGCCGCCCCCGCGAACTTGAGACGCCTTTCCCTTCCTGCCTCGCCTGGCGGCGTCTCCGCGAAATAGCCGCATCGCCAGGCTGTGATTTCTACACGCCGACTGGAAAGGGGAGAGGATTTGGAGAGCTTCGGGGAGTCGTCGGGGAAGATGCCCGGGAGAGGGATGGGTCCCCATACTGCTCTCTGACGTTGGCGAGGAAGGGAATCGAAATAACGCAGCCCAAACTTTCCTTGGTGGCAACATCGGGAGCATCTTACCGAGGCTGGGTGAAAACTAGAAAAGACGAGGGGCGCCCAGAGAGAAGAGGGCAGGAAGGGAAGGATGGGAGTTGGGTTCTTCCTTTCGGAAGACCTCTGGAGGATTACTTAAGGGACAAGGCCAATCGCTGGTGTCCAGCCGAGGCGAAGGGAGTTCCAGCGGGGCGCGGCGGTTCCTCTTCCTGAGCCCCTTCCCGCCTTCCCCCACCCCCCGGTGTCCTGGGCCTCCCGCAGTGACCGTGACCTCTCCGCCGCCCTGATGTGCTGCGCGCTCTCCGCGCACTTGCTCTAGGCAAAGGAAGAGCAAGGGTCCGGCTGGACGTAGCGCGGGGGCAGCGACTGGCGGGCAGGGGCCGGGGGCGCATGGAGGCGCCGCGGAGGCGGTGCGGTTCGCCAGCGCCGCGGAGGAGCGCCCACGACGCCACCAAGGTTCCCCCGGGACCTGGCCGGCGGCTCTCCGCACTTCCTGCCGCGGGGCTCCCGTCAGCGGGCAGCAGCTCTGAGTCTAGAGCTCCCTGAGAGTCGTGCCCGGTAAACTCCGTGGTCACCAGCGCGGGACAGACGCGCGGGGCGGGACAGGTGTAGCTGGCAGCCCCGGGGGGCGCCCGGCCCAGAAGGACTGCTGAGGGCTCAGGCCTGGGCGGGAGTCAGCTCGCAGCAGAGCAGAACTCCGGGTGCTCGCGAAGCAGGCCACTCGGTGCGCCACTTTTTCACCGCCGCTGCTGGAGCCTTGGGCCCCCAGGCCGGCTGGGAAGATCGCGCCGGGGGACTCCAGGAAGGAGCAAGGCAACTCCCCCGCGTCCCTGCAGCCGCCGGCTCTCTCGCGGTCCCATCTGCCCACTCCCCGGCCTCCGCCGGGGGTGAATGAAGTTGCAGCGGAGCCCGGCTTCTCGGCGGCTGCCCGGGCCGCTGTCCTGATGCCTGCTGCCCGCGGCAGGCCTTGTTCCGGCCCCAGGACCTAGGGCAGCTGCGCGCGCGGCCGCCGGCGGCGGCGCCTTCTCCATGCTTCTCGGAGCCTCCTGGCTGTGCGCGTCCAAGGCGGCCG